TAATGCGTCAACCAAACAAAATTATAATAATGTGCATCAGACAGAACAATAAAAGAGGCATTTTGTTTTTTCCATTAATTTTATTATTTTGAATTTTCTTAGTTCAAATAATATATTTGAACATGGGTGTGCAGAAGCAAGTTAATGCGACTGAAAGCCAACTATCAAAATAGTTGCCATGAATAAATTTCATTTGAATGCTTTTTAATGCGAGTATGCTAGAAGAATACAAAAGTCAAGCGAAGGGAAGAGGAGTGTTTTTTAAGTGACAACACAAATATTTTGTATTAAAACAGAAATTGCAAAGAAATGACGGCTCGTCCTAATAAATTTTAAAATTTAATGTTCCCATTTTTTTAAAAATGTTTTCTTTTTTTTTTTTTCTCTTTCTTCCTTTTTTTCCCTTTTTTTATTAAAAAATAATATTAATATACTAAGTGTATAATATATGTATGCAATTTATTGTATGTATATACATACAAACATTTGTTCATTCTGCCACCGGCTTTTAAATTTTCTATATTCCAGTAATGGTGTTGAGAATGATGATGATGGTGAAGATGATGTTGATGTTGATGTTGATGTTGATGATATTCTCTTAATAAAATTATATATGCCAGATACCATAATAATAATGGAAAAATAAAAGATGATCTTGATTTGGATCATTCAACCGTAATTTGTTCTGGGCTTGATTCTTTTTGTATTACATAAATGGAAAAGAACAAATCAAAATGACTCAAGCAAATTTAAGTATTCGAGTAAGTAAGTAGAATGCTGTATATCAACATATGCACCAATTTAGGAAGGTCACTGGTTAAATTAAATATTGGTTAAAACTAAATTTTTAGTTTATAAATAAGCGATTATCGAATATCAACCGAATAATAAGGAGACGAAATATCAACCATCATATTTAACCTGATCTTACACTACGCGCTCAAGGACCTAATATCGAAGGTAATTTATTTACGAGGCCCTACCAGATTTATGCTTACGCTGATGATATCGCCATAATGTCAAGAAGTAAACGTGATTTAATTGAAATATTTACAAGGCTTGATCAACAGACTCGAAGAATTGGATTAAAAATAAATGAAAATAAAACAAAGTACATGATAGTATCGAGATTAAATACAAGAAGAGTGGCGCAAAATATTACTATTAATGACTACAATTTCGAAGGTGTGAATAATTTTATATATCTGGGTGCACAAATAAATTCAAATAATGATATCCACAAAGACATAAAGCATAAAATATTGACGGCCAATAGAGCATACTATACAATTTCTCATATATTGGGATCAAGATTACTATCAAGACAATGTAAATTACAGATATATAAAACAATCCTGAGACCAATTCTAAGTTATAGTTCCGAAACTTGGACATTATCACAAAGTGATATAAATGGTCTAAGAATTTTTGAACGAAAAATGTTGCGAAAAATATTTGGGCCGAAAAGAAACGAAAATGACGAATACGAAATTAGAACGAACCAGGAACTGATGGAATTAATTGGCAATGAGGACATTGGATATATAAAATCCCAAAGACTGCGCTGGGCGGGACACTTATTCAGAATGAACTCTGATAGAGCTCCAAAAAGAATTTATGACGCAAGGCCCCTACTCAACAGATCTAGGGGCAGACCGAGGTTAAGATGGAAAGACGATGTGATAAACGATTTAAACAAATTACAAGTTAACAACCTAAATAACGCAGTAACGGACCGAGCAGAATGGAGGCGGATAGTCAATCAAGCTAAGGCTCACATCGGGCTGTAAAGCTACTAAAGAAGAAGAAGAAGAAATAAGCGATTCTTCTTTGAATTTGATTCTAATTAGTAAAACTTTCCTCAAAAGCGAAAATTCATATTGGGTAGAAAATTTTCTAAGGTTTATTTATTAAAACAAAACATAAAATATTGCTGTTTACGCGGTTTTGTAGGCCATTTGATTTTTAAAGTTAAGTGCTCCTTACACATTGTTCTAAAAACTGCACAGTATCGCCTTAAATTTTATTCAAGAAGAAATTTTAACAAAACATTCTATTCCGTATTACTTAAAATCCGTGTTGAATGCACAGCAAAAAGGTAAGGATCGCCTCAAGCTTTTCATAAATGTTCAGAATGCAGTATTACAATTTCCTAGGGCATTTGACTGATTTTATGTTTTTCAGCTATGAAATACTAATTTTTGACTATTTTTTTGCGATTTTCTGTTGGTTCTGTTGGTGACAAGTTAAATCTCAAATTTATTTCATAATATAAAAACAATACTCAAACTTTTAACACTGCAGCATCCCTATTTGAGAAATTAATTAATCTGCCGAATTCGATGCCACAATTTAAAAATTTGATTAATACGGAATCCATAATGTCAGTGAATGACAGTACTTTGTATTGATACAAAAAACAAATAAGATGTGATGTGCAAATTTCCGATACGCACATCGAATTTCAGATTCCCGAATTTTAAAGTAAATCCTCTTGAAGCCGCAAAAAGGTGTATGTCATCAGGTGGGAGAGTTTCAGTAATTTTAAAAAAGTCAAGAGTTACGATACTAAATCAAATAGAGTGCAAGAATTTCATATACACAAACACACAAATCAAGTTTTGCATTCCAAAAAAAAAATGAAAAAATGAAGAATTAAAATTTGTCAACAATTTCGAAATAGAAAAAATTTATTTGAACAGTTGTACAATACTTAAGCTATAGGTCTAGTTTTAAATTAATCCACTCTATTGTCCGGCATTATTTTTTAATCACCAAAAATTTTTATTCTTCTCTATCGATCCCAGTGAATAACTTATTGAAAGTTCAATAACCTTTTATTGAAAAATAACTTTTTCACCTTTCAATTGAAACAAAAGTATATTATGTACTTACAAATTATTAAAAATACAAGCTCAAACCCAGAACAGTTTGTTATCTGCACATGTTGTTTGGAGTTGATTCTATATTAAAATTTAAAAAACAGCTAAAAAATTTCTTTGTATTACAAAATTATTTACAATTGGTATATATGATTATTTTATTCTACTTTTTACTTTGAAACCCCAAAGGTGCATCAAACCTTGAATCCTACCAATTATATTATAAAAAAAGAACATGAATAGGTACATAAAAATAAATGCACTTACAATATATACTTGGATAATGCGTTATCTTCTACAAATCAAAAATAAATCAATGAAATGGATAAAATATAAGAAGCGAAAATCACCATTTTGCTAATATAATTACACGGTTCCTGTCAGATTATACGAGAACTGACTGAAATAAACAAAAAAAAAATAAACTCTTTTGTTTTGTTTTCTTTCCGAAATGGTAAGTGATGGACAGTTGTTTTTTTTTTTTTTTTTAACTTTTAAACACTATAATTTTTCTCCCTCTTTTGAATTCTCTTGAATCGCCCCTAAAAACACATTTCCTTTTTTAAGAATTTTTACGAGTATATGTGAATGTAAATTTAGCCGAAAACCATTTTTAAAACGATTTGCGCTCTTTTAAATTTTCAATATACAAATATTACGGGCAGTAAAAAAAAAACACATTTAGGGCGAAATTTTTTAAGTATGCTTACATAATAAATGCTTTATACAGCTACGTATATGTATGTATAGTGTTATTTAATAAAATTCTATATGAATACATCCTTTTACATGTTGGGCTGGCGTATAATTGCAATAAAATGCTGCATTATGTGTACATATACAAAAAATATTTTATTAAATAATAAATGCATTGAAGAAAATTAATAGGTTCACAATGTTTAATATTTAAAGAAAAAAAAAGGTATTGAAGATGGGTTTTCGCTTCAAAAGGGACCTCATAAATATTTCATTTTATCGATTTATCACGGTTTTCTATATACCAAACGTGCATAAAATAAGAAAAAATTTTTACTTTCAATTTATTGGAAATTGTTGTGTTCTCTTACTTTTACTTTGATTTATAAAGTGTGGAGTGAGTTAATGGTGGTAATAAAATGGTTTTTTTTTTTTTTGAAAAAAAAAAAATAAAATTCCTAATTTTTTTTTTTTGTTTAAATTTTAATTTTTTTCAAATTTTTTTAATTCTTTAATTTTCATTTGCCTTAAAGGAATTTTTATTTTATTAACGTGGGCATTTTTGAATTTTTTTTTTTTAAAATGTGATAAATACTTCTTAAAAATTTTTTGAAGGATATTAATTAATTTTTAAACATTTTGATTTTATATTTCTTATTTCTCGTTTTAATAGTAAGTGTTAAAAGGCTAATGACTTTACAAAAAAAATGCTAAAACAAAACAATGAATATTGAAACGTAAATTATTTTATTGAAAAAAGAAAGGATGTACACGTTGAATACCGAAGACTTGTATATAGAAAAAAATACACTTAATCTTAATGAAAAATTATTTTGAGAAAATTATGAAATTAAAAGAAAAATCTTATTAATTTCTAATATTTTTCAGAATAAGTAGCCGTTTTCTTTCTTATTATGAATAAAAGTAGTAGTAGTAATCGAGAGGATCCGCTTGGCAACAGACGCAAAGCCCATGCTATAGGCCAACCAGAAAGTCCTTCGACAACAATCAAATTAACACCAAACACCCCCAAGCAGTACAATCCGAAAAAACCACTTAACGGAACCAATTAACCTCCTTGGAGAGTCTCAAAAGACGTGCCAAGGAATCCCACGTCAGAACCTCTAGACGATCATATAAGAAAACCCTCAGGATGCGATCCCCCTTCCACATCAGAAACGAAGCGGCATAAAAATTATGTTCCACATCCATCACCTCCGCAATATTCTGACATCCCCAACAGACATCCGTCGTAGGGACTTCTACTAGTATACTGATATTAGCCCTACTATATCCGAACAACGACTTCACCCTCTTCTCTTCCTTACTAGGACACATCGCTTTGACGACCTGCATACGTGAGCCTCCGCCCATAAGATTTAGGCCTTCCTTAATATGAAATTGTCATAATTATTTAATATACTAGTAGCCCGTAACCGACAAATGTAAATGTTCCGGCACTAAAATTGAAAAAAAATTTATTATTCTTCAATAAAATAAAATTTTAAAAAACGCCATGAGGACATTGTCAACCTATATTACCTATTGAGAAACTTAATACTGCTGTCTATCGGAAGGAAAGCAACAATAAATTACGTAATTTTTAAGTTACGAGCTCTAGAATTTTGTACATGTGACAACAGTGATACACCACAAGGAAGTGTAGACATGTAGTTTACAAAGAAAAATCCTTTGTAACTGTGAAAATATTTATGTGAAATAACGGACAGCAACGGTAATTAAACACACAAATTATTTGAGAATTCTTTATAAGCATTTACTAAGTAGAGATCTCGGACTTTAAATTATTTAATATTCCCCAAACTTTTATTAATTTTTCAAACAAAAACCTTTTTTGAGCTTAATTTTTCAAATAACAATTAAAAAATAATAAAAAGTAATTTATTCAAATGAAATTTTAAAATTTGGTCACATAATCGAAATTTTCCGAAAAACAAATTATTTTGAGAAAATATTAACAAAATAATAATAAAAAACGCACTTTAATTTCGCTAACCACGAATCGTTTAAATATGAAAATTACCCATTGTTCTAATTTGATTCCAAAAAGAAAACAAACCTCAACAAATTTTTTTTTTTTCAACTTAAACCTGAACTCTTTAGATTTGTTTTCATTTATAAAATTCTACAGAAATTATGCTTTTGTTTTTTTGCAAAATTATAACAATAGAAACGTTAATAAAAATTTTTCCGTAACATTTTAGGTCCGCAGTTTTAAATACACAAAATATTAAATGAACCTTAATATTTAAACAATAATCTTTTAAAAAGTGAATTGAATTGCTTTTTTTTCACAAAAAAATCCGAACTATAGAAAAAGATTATACAAAAGTAATTTTTTGAACTAAAATAAAATCCAGAATAAACGAATCGAGATCATTAAATTTGGATCAAACCAATGGTTTGTAAAGTAGCAGTTTTCCCTTGAAAATACAAGCGAAAATACTGTTTTTAAAAACAATCTACTACATTATTTAAATTATGTACTTTCATTTATATACCAATATATTAGTCATTAATTTAATTTACATAAGTATATAAAATTATTGCATATACTTAGGATAATTGAAAGAAACATAAATGATGGAATTCGCCACACCGGTTAAATAAGTGAGTTAAGATAAGTTTGTAAAAAACTTTTGTGCGTTTACGCAATTCAAAAGATGTTTGTGGTTTCTAAACGATAAATTTCCAATAAATGGCAGTTTTAGGACTCTAAGGAACTATTTGGGAAGTTTTATGAACAGACACGAAAGGCCAGGTGAAATTAAAAAGCACTTTACTCCAATTTTTGTTTTTGAAAAGTACTAAAAACAAAACCAAATTATAAAATAAAAAAAACCTAATAAATAAAATTAACCTTTTAAGTCAATAACCGTGTCACTTATAAATGCCTTAACCATACTATTGTTTACTACTACCATAATATTATTATAACCACTAACACCATAATAGTCAATAAAAGTTTTTTTTTTAGAGTGTCATAACCAATACACAATCATCTAGACCAATTTTTTTATAAAGAAAGAAAAAAAGTTTCTTTTCTTTTAACTTTTATTTTTTTATTTTCTGTTTCTCGTTATCAAAATAATTCGTCACGTCTGGTTTATATATAGTTGTGGTGGGTAGGATCCCATGTCTGCCTATAAAATTAAGTTTTATATATTATTCTTTTTCAAAAAATCACAGTTGCGCATATTTAATTTCATTTCTCATGCCTAACGTATATGCTGTACGAATGGTCTGATTGTACATATACACATTCACATAAGCATACTCGTATGAAGAAGGTTATTGAAATAATATTTTCAATTTCTCGGCCTTTTTATAGATTTTAGTAAATTCTATGATATTGCGCCTCATTTGTTGTAGAATTGTAAATAGTAGGAAATTTACAATAAATTGTTTTAGCCTTATTAGGGTTCAAGGAATTATGGCTAATAAAAAATAAAAGTACAGAATTGTCCCGTTAGACAGGTTATGACTCTGTGAAATCCTAAATGGAATCACATCCCATACTATTTCACGCAATAGTAGACTAGAAGAAAAATAAAACTTTGATGACATTTTCAACACCAAAGCCTTGTTTCATCAAAATGTCATGATTCAATAGATTTTAGCAGGTGGTTTATGTAATAACAAATTGTTCGACTAACTGTCATACAAATTAAAAGGTTATTTAGCTATATAGATCTAAAACTATATTGATGCCATAGTATCGCAATTTTGCACAGTCAAACTTAGTAAAGGCCATCACAACCGATAAAAATATTTGAAATTGCATAAATTTTTATGATATTTGTCAAACAATTTCCAAAATTTATTTGACCTTTCCTTAGATACTGTCAAAACTACATTATCGAAATTTCGCACAATCGAATGTTATAACGAATGCGGTGGTCTTTATTTAAAATTAAAAATTTATCACATATTTTGTTTGATAAGAAATAATTGGTATTCTTTTCTCTTTTGTTCAATCAAACAATCCACTGATACTTACAATGTTCAAACTTGTATTAAATTTTAATCGTATCAAACAAAATGTATGAACAATGTTTGATAAGCTAGTAATTAGCTCTCGAGAATATTATTCGCTCTCTCGTAACAAATCTATTTTATTGTGCAAACGAGAATATTATGTAGTTTATATCAACTATCAAAAAAATATCCATAAAAATTTTTTAATTCGAAATATAAGAGTGCAAAACTTGGTCATGAATACTGAAATTTTATAAGGTTTACGCAAAAAAAGAAAACTTAATTTACTCATATATACACAAATACAGAAATAATATAATAAGATTCTTAATGCATATTTCCAATAATTTAGAAATTGTTAAGGGGCACTTTATGTTTTTTTTTTGGGTTTCTTATTATCATTTTATAGTCAGGATTATAGGGTAGACATTAAAATACAATAATAGCGGCAAGAGCATGTTATATTCCTCATAACAATGAAGTATGCAGAAATATATCGAAAAACAAAACATTTTTTAGCCGGCACGAATGAAAAAATCAAAAAAAAATTAAAAGACGATATCACGCATATTAAATTGTCACGATTTAAATGTCATCAGTTTTCTTTAAAAAAGAGAAAAAACAAGAACAACAACAAAAGAAATAAAACTTTTATGGTAAAAATTCAATTTTTTAATTCTTTTATAGTTTTTAGAAAATTAATTTGGACATTAAACTAGACTGCATTTAAAAAAAAAATTCGGTCTCGATTTTTATTCACTGCCTGCCGATTTAATTTTTCTCCCTTTTTTTATTACCAAACCATATGCAGGCATGTGTGTGTGGATTGCAATTTTTTTTTACAAAAAAAATTAATCATGAGAATTCATTTGAAATAAATTCGAATTGTTTGTATTGCATGAATGCCATTTTTTTAGGACTAAAACTAGAAGACGTGCAGATTATTTAAAAAAAAAACGTGCCTTAAATTTTACTAATTTTAAAAATAAAGTCAAACCTTTAATGATATTTTTTATGGTCTTTTAGCAAAAGCTTTGATTATTCAAAAAAAAAAATTTCGACTTTTTTTTTTAATTTTTTACATTTATATTTTGCAATAAAAGCAATTACAATCATTCGGAATCATTTCTAAACCTAACAATTTTCTGTTTCAAAGCATAACAGCTAATGTTTCATGTGTCATTTTACAAAAATTTTGTAAAAATTCTAAATTGTAAATGACATGTAAATTCCTTCTTTTTCATTTGCATACGAAAGCTGTAATAGTTGTGTCTCTATATGCATTCATTGATTATCTTAATTATTCAAGCGCATATGTACACCCTAAACGAAATAAAAGCATTGCAATAAAAAGACAAAAATTTTGTTTAATAAACTCACAATTTCGTGTATTCATTTTGGAAGAGAATAAATGAATTTATTAAAATTTACAACGTTCTCTAAAAAACATGACAGTAATATAAATCGTTATTTTTTAATATTAAACATGCAAACATACTTTAAAAAAATTAATGATGAGCGAAGGAAGTTTAATTGGGGAATGACGTAAACAACATTAAAAATTTTTCAAAGTGTACAATTTAAGTGTATTTTTGTTAATAGAAGAAATTTCATCTGTTTTCTGTTATTTAAAAATTTATTCAATTAAATATTTTAATAACAGGGTATTCTGTCCAGCCTGTATAGCTAAAATTTTAACTTTTTCAACAAATATATATTACCAATATGCGTGTATTACGGCACCAACTGAAAATGACTGATTTAATTGCGTTCAAAATCTAAACCAATCACACAAATATCATTCAGATCTCATATTAACTCGCCATTAAATCTCATATTAGCTCCCTTAAAATCCTTTCATATTAACTCGCCATTATCTGTGGGTATTTTTCTGAGTGAATTGAAAAAACGATGCAAATAAAATAGTACAAATACATATATGCGCACAAAATCAATATGCCCTTCTTTCCCACTTTTTTTTTTGGAAAATTGCTAAAAAAGAGTTCAAATTTAATTTCAAATTTAAATTGAGATGAAAAAACTTTTGATAATTTCTAACTCATAATAAATTCAAAATTTAATTTAAGATTTAATATGTCATGTCAGTCATTTCATTTAGCAATTAATATTGTGACGGAGCAATGAAATATTTAAAAACATATTATAAGGCTGACAGTATACATTTAAAAAAATGCCGAAATCTTATTGGAAAGATGTTGTAATCTTATCATAATTTCTACAATAGTAATTCTTGTATATTTATATGTATAACCAGCCTTAAGTCTGGCTTCTTTGAATTCGAGATCAAATTCTTAAAGAAATAATTTAATATTTTAATTCAATTACTTATAGAAATATTATGTATTAATATAGTTTTACACTTAGAATTAGTAATCAACGTCCAATTACAGTAAATAAAGAACGCATTAATAAGTTGAAAAATTCAAATAGCAGAAAATTA